GGACGTCTGGTTGACTTCTGGGACAAAGACAATGGCGGCTCGCGGACCAGGAAAGTCGGGTGAAATCGACCTATTGTATACGCCGCAAGCTTGGTATGTGCCAGGAAGCATTTCTGAACAAGTGCGGTCACTGGAAAGGAACCATCCGCCACCGTTCGGATAGCCCCGAGCAAATTCACGGATGGTCTAAATTTATTTCACGCCGTGATTTAATTAATCACGATTTCATCTGGGACAATTATATAACTATTCGCAGCTCCGATACAGTATTGCTTTGTCTTTGGAGATTGTATTTTGCCTATTATTGAAATTAGAAAAAAAAAAGAACTTCAGTTGCTGCGAGGGACCTTCAAAACTCATGTGAGTTAAGATATCCAATTCGTACGATGGTGCATTATACAGCAGGCACGTAGCCAGGGGGGGGGGGGGGGGGGGGGGACTGGGGCTGGCCGCCCCCCCCCCCCCCCCCCCCCTGGAAATCTTCAATTTTGCTGGGGCCTCCCCTCCTGGCTACGTGCCTGTTATACAGAATGATAAAATACGAGACTGTGATGCACCAATTAGACACGACATCATCTCGGCATGTAGAGGGCCACTAATCACGAACGATCGATCAACGCAAACGCTCAGCGATACAAATCCTTCATAAACAACATCCTACAAGGGTCAACCGACAGAAGGACACACCTGTCACGTCCGTCAAGTCATAAAATATTTACGCTACAAACACTAGTAAAAAACGTTTAAAAAATATATATATATCGAGTAGTGGGTAGTCATTCGCAATTTAGAAAACATATTTTTTCCACCAGGAACAGGACATCATTCGAGCATTGCTCACGATCCCTCCAAAAAATCTCCTGGTCGATAATTGGATCGCGCAAGAAAAAAAAAAACAAAAAAAAACTATACGTGGTTACCCCATTGCGTCCCGATCAATCACGACGTCTGGGCCGCTTGAGCAGCGCGTTCATTCATTCCCAAACATAGCCGCTCCCGGATTTTATTTGATATCCGTCCGGGCCAAACCTCTTTCTCGCTGTTTATTTTATCTCCTCGCTGCGCGTGTGTACGCGTAAACGGGCGCGTGAAATGAGTCGCTTTCATCTTCGATAGCTGCCTTCCCTTTCCTCTATCGCGATCAGAGAGAGAGAACAGGACGGGGCAACGGCGGTGGATCTTCCACCATGCCTCTTCCACTCAATAACTGCACGTTTGGATCGCAACGCCTCTACTGCTCGCCACTCTTGCCGTGCAAGATAAAGAGTGCGCCGGATATGGCCTGGCCGGCCTTCGCCTGCCGCTTTGCTTCTTACTTTACGTGGAACAGTGCGTCGGAAAGAACTTCCTTTTATTTTTATTCTTTTTCATCCCGACGTTAGAGCGGCAGTGCGCCACTCTTGCAAGGCGTCAAACAACATGACCAGCAAAAACAAAAAAACTGCGCGTTGACGTCGTCCAATGTTACCATAACGTCGCGTTCCGCGGTGTTTGTATTTATATTTTCTTTTCTTTTTTACGTCTACTTTTTTATCGTTCTTTTTCTGCGTGTGCTACATGAATATAAACGCGTGCGAGCTTACGCACGCGAGCGAATCAAAGCATGCAACGACGTCGTTTGCATACTTCTCGTCCCTCTTACGCTCTCCTTTCCTCGCACACTGTTTTTCACCGAAAAGGAAAAGACGAGAAAGCCAGCGAAACAACATTAACAAAACACGGTCCTTTTTTTTCTTTTTTTTTTTTAGCAAAACGGCGCAATAGTGGAGCTCAAATTGATCGAAAGATGTCCAGTAAATTTCGTGTCGAGAAGAGGCCAGATTTAGAATGACGCGAAGTACGACACTTAAGCGACACGACACATCATGAAAGATTGTGTTAAGAAGTACATGCACTTTACTTTGAAAGTAAGTTGTGTTTATAGAACTTTACCTCAAGTGCACTGAGCCCGGCTTAATTACTACTTAAGTCCGGACCTCTCGCTTACTATGCACATTACTTCAAGTACTTTTTAGATGTATAACACTGCTCGTTACGACAACTTGACCACGGATTTTTTCTTACATTTTAGTGAATCCGATAAATGTAGCAACTTAAATTAATGCGGATTAAAAGAGTCACCTGCGTGTAGAATCGGACTTGCGACTAATACAGTGACACACATTGAGAGTTACTGTACACTCTAATTAAATATGCGTATATTGCTTCTTACTTCAATTATGTTGAAGTAAATGCAACCGGCATTTAACGAAGTTGATAGTTCGCGCCTATGAATATCTAGCGACGCGATGACTTTTCGGCGAAATCTAGAATTTTACAGGCGGCCATTTGCCGAATTTGCGCTAACAGCTGTGAGTTCGATTTTTTCCCCTTCCCGCATAATTATAACATCTGCTCCTATCCGCGTTCGTTTTATTGTGTATCGTTCCATTTTGCTCGCTGGATCTTGCTGTGAAACACGTCTTTGGGTGGCCGGTGCTGTTTGTGGACACAGGAAGTATATCATTAAGCTATCTTTATTACGTGACGGTTTCTAATTATTATTAATGTCATTACTATTAATAAACAATTGCGGGAATTATGTTTGGGAACTAGAAAACCCTTTAGACATCTATGACATGATCTAACAATGAACGAAATTGTGAACTATGCCTTGAATGTCGATTCGGGGTTTATCCCCGAATCGACATTCGGAGTTTATTTTTCGCTGAAAATTCGGGGTTTATCCGAGTTCGTTTTTGTTAAAGCCTCAATTTCCTTTTTTTTTTTTTTTTTTTTGTCATTTGGATAATTTTTTTGTGTGTATTTTATTTAAAAAAAAAATCAAAAACAAAATAAATAAAGTCCGTGTACCATGACCTGTTGTCCTGAAGGACGTGCTAAAAGGCAAACTCCTTTTCTTGATCTAGACTTCAGAGGAAACTGAAGTGGTACCTCCTCAGGACCACTGACCCTGTGCTCTTGTGAAGTTTATTTGTAAAACAGCGTCCTTTTTGCTATTTGTTTAGCCGTTGTGGCCTCATAATTCTGTGTTTTCCGGATAATCCGGATTGACTAAAAAATTATCGGCGAGTGGAACCCTACGGGCTGCCTGGCATGCTTCTGAATGTTGTTATGTCAGGTATTTTAGCTCGTGCCGCATCGCATCGAGTATTACGCTTATATGCAACCACCTCTAAAAAAAAAAAAGAAAGAAAAAGAAAACAGGAATAACACGATTTTGTTCGTGGTCACGACGACTGGGCGAGGTAAATTATGCATCATTGCACGCACACACACACACACACACACACACACACACACACACACACACACACACACACACACACACACACACTGCGGTTTTAGAAATTTAGACGGCCATACAAATTTGTCACGGGATGAGAAAGTTCACTGACCAAGCCTGCACACACTGATATCGCTTTTGTTTTTCTCCATTAGTTTCGAGAGTCCGCTTGCAACACCAAAGTATACAAACAAGGCGATGGGCTTCTTTCTACGGTATCTAGAGGTGCTCTCTCACCGGAAGCCGAAAACTATACAACGTTGATACGCAGCAAACGCACAAAACCCCGGTAAAAGATAAGATGATTCCTTAATTATCTGAAGGGCCCGTTGCGTCGCCCCTATCTCCGAAAACAATGATCCGCAACGTGAGAAACTTTTTCGCGGCGTTGGGGAAACTCGTGAGTCACACGCGCCCCGCATTCCAGTGCAAGAGCGTACCATGCAATGCGTGCGCACAATGCCGGTAAAACTGGCGGACAGATTTGCGCATAGATAAAGATGCGGGCGCCTGAATTACAACGCGTATCGTCCCGCAGTCGGTGGAAAAGGACGTTCATTTAGGTCTGGCGTCAAGAGTTACTCACAGATAACGAAGATATTTCACTCGGCCGCCGCACAGAATCGCGTAGCACGATCGCGCGGCTTCTCCAGTTGCAAAGGAGCGATCCGCGCAAACAGCGTGAAGAAAAACGGTTACCAGTGACCGGAAACAGCATTCCGGGATAACCTTAGCGGGTATTTGTGATGAAACCGACACACAGCTGCGACTAACGCAATTAGAGGATCCGTGTCGTTCACCGTAGGTTTATTAGGGCAAGGGCCTCGGGCGCTTCGGCAATGCTAGCGCTATCGAAGCGTGCTGGCGGTTCAATCACCCACATCTGGTGCACACAACGAGCCGGGGGTCTTCCGTCCGCCAAATGTCATCGCACTACCGCCCACTCTAGCCGGCATCAACAACGCCCAACTGCTACCTTCGGCGGCGCACGGCAAAACGACTCTCCATCGCGGCACCTCGCACAGACCGCCGCTTCGCTCGTCTGGCTCGGACGACACCATTTTAAGAAAAGGCACGGCCGGTGAGAGTTAACCGAATTTCGCGATCACCGCCCGCAACTTTGCCCGCAATTAAAAGATCGACTCCAGCGAGCGTCGCACATCGAGAAAGAAACCAAAACTGTGGTTTGATCGGAAGGGGGTGGGGAGGGGAGCCTCGGTTGTCGAACGACGAGTCCGCTTACCTGGCCGCTGGACGCCGCCGGTGAGTTGTCGGCCACATCGTAGATGACCGGTGGAAGTCCGAGGCCCGAACCGCCGAAGACGGAGATTCCAAATCCAAAGGATTCACTTCTTTTCAGCTGGACACTCCGCAACTCTCGGTCCTCCATTATCCAAAGCCATGTGCATATGCTGCCCCCGTTAGGCAGACGTCTGAATCTGCCAGTCGACGAGGAGGACTCGCGAACAACGCTCGCGAAGTTTCACCTTCGTTTGTGTAATTTTAGAACGATACAGTCATAATAATCATCGAAAACTCGTTACTTTCCCGGCATATTTAATTATGGTGATTTTATTGCTTTTTGAATGACTGATAGCCCGTAGAAAGGAAGGAAAAGCAACGAAAAATAAAGGAGTTCGAAATTTATTTCTAGCGCGTACCCCTAGTCAACCCCATCGATAGCATCATCACGGCTTGTTGCCATGGGAACGCCGACTGCTGCAAGATGGCGGACAAAGAATGACTTCTCGTGCGTGGTGTGGTGTGTTTTACAGCATTCCTTTATAAATAATCTGAACATTAGACTTTTAAAACTCGGAAATAGAGCTGTAGGTGTCCGTGAAATATGAACCTTTTTTTGAGAACACATCGTTTCTTCTCTTCTGCTTCTGTTCGAAGGTGTTCTGTCTCTACGAAGTAGGTAACCTCGCTCAGCTTCCGCTCTTCGTTCATTGTGTGCTGTTGTACGGTGTGTTTAGGAGACACTAACTGCGTATTATCTTTCTAACATAGGCTCGAGGCAGCACGGAAAGTGGAGGTGATCGATGGGAAGCGTATCGCGAATGAGATCGAAACGGAAATTCGCTCTGCCATCAACAGCGACCTCGTCCACGGGGGCAGGAGACCGCACCTTTGCGCAGTTCTCGTCGGTGACGATGAAGGAAGCGCCGTTTACGTCAAAAACAAGATCAAAGCATCAGAAAGGACAGGTAAGTGTAGAATATTTGTTTAAAGATGGCTTTCTAACATCTTGCGTTCACGTACGATTTTTTTTTTCTTCAATATGTAATAAATTTACGTTGTAACAACGTTTGCGGGTTCGAGAGGAGCGAATATAAAACCACAGTGGTTTGAAACTAAAACAGTGTAAATGAAAAAATCAAACTGGTTGTTGGGGTAAAAAAATAAAAAGATTTGTTGGATAGTTTTAAGCTTTTAACATATGTTTGTGAAAATGTAAGGTCTTTCTTGCTTAATATTTATTACACTGGATGAACAAAGCTTGATATTCGTAATTCCCGTTTCCCACAAATTATTGTTCGCAGCCATCATCTTCATTAGTATCTCGATGTCTAGTCTACCTCTAAGTTTGCCAACTGCTCACTTGTGAGTCATGGGTTGATTCCAGACAGATGGTTTCGACACATGTTCATCACGAAACAGAAGAAACGTGACATTACAAAACAGAAGAAACGATGGGAAGCTTGGTTATTTTTGGTTGGATAGGTTCAGCTTCATGTATGGATGTCAACGCACTCATGTTCGCTTATCCGATGTCTAATGTCCAAATTTCTGGTTCTTCAAATGGCTTGTATCGAGATGAAACATGCTCACTGTTCTTTTATTCTCATCTGATCAGCTCTATACTGTATTGTCTAAACGGATTGGACGAGGTAAGTAAACTATTAGGACCAGTGAGAGGTGGCTATGATCTGAAGCTCTAAAATTTTACCAATTCCGGTGAGTTCCTGTAGTGTGCATTCTGGGCTTTAGGAAGAAATAGTTATTTTTATCCACTTTTAGGATGCAAACACTAGGTAAAGTTAAGCCTTACTTATAAAAAAAACAACAACCTTGTACATATTTTAATGTGTTTGAGTTCAGCTTACCTACAAGCCTATGGTGCCAGTGAAAGAGAGCCAAAGGTGGTGGGCCATGTTGTCTTTCTATTTTGAGTGAGCATGTTACTGCTAGCTAATCTATTCAGGCTTGAGAGTCTTTGTTCTCGGTGAGCAGGTTTGTGTGTCTTATAGTCATCTACATACTCAAACTTCATGTCTAATGGAGCGCAGTCATGGACAATGTCGCGATCGAGCAGTTGTTTGGGACTAAATGTACTGCAGGGAGTCGAGCCAGGGCAGGACCTCATCAGGACGCAGGAATCGAGAAGGACCAGAGAGCAGGAGGGATGTCTCATATAACTCTGTTTGTTTACATATTGACAGGTTCAACTATAGAGCACTTGAGAACACACGCTAGCAGCCGCCCACAGCTCCTTTTATAGCATCGCATTTCCCCGTATCCCTAGCATGGAATCCTCATGGTAAATTCCTCGACCAAAGCGGTGGGGCTGTTGTTCCTTACTTCTAGGCACTCCCCTCTCTTTCACACACCACCAGCTGCGTCATGCACAGCGATGGACCGGGCACCCTTGGTCACTGTTTCGTTGGTCAATCTCGGGCTGTCCACGGCGCCATCGAAGTCTGGATGGAGGAAAAGAAATCTTCTTAAGTGCAGGCACCTTGGCTTCCGTGCGGTAGGGAAGTAATCCCATAAACGCTCCAAGAGGGGCCAGTTGGTAATGACGTCTTGTGTTGACACTGGCGTTGGTCAACTCTATAATCCTTCGTAGAAGGCCACGTCGTCCATTTCTACGAGGGCATGCTGGCGACCCCGTGGCGCCTCTCGCTTTGCCTCCGGGCGCAGCTCACCGGCACCACCTGACGATGACGTTCAAGGTCATGCACCTGTGCTGGTCGGACTGAACGGGCGAAATTTGTCTCTTGGGGTCTTTCACAACAGTATTCGATAACAGTCTACCTTTTATCAGCATTCTGACTATTTTCTCTCAAGAGAAGTAATTATGAAACAAATACTGTGCAAGCTTGCCCCTAGCACACTACTATGTATCAGCAGTAAAGGCCCACAATATTATGAATCCTGCATAAAAATGTGAATTTGTTTTGATTTTTGAAACTAGAAACCAAAAGAAATTCGCGTTTTATTTAGATTACCAAAGGTTCAAGAAAGCTTCAAAGTTTTTGGTGAAATACAATTAAAAGACACCTTCCAAATATTGCCCAAAGTCCCGTAAACCCAGGAATGCTGTGTTCGGTGGTCCTGTCATTCTTTCCGACGTGTCCAGGTTTTATAGGTGTCCACTTTGAGGTGTTTCACCCTCCGTGTTTTTTTGTTTTGTTTTTTAACAGGGATAACAAGCGAAAACATTCACCTGCCATCATCAACAACGCAGACTGATCTTCTGTCTCTGATCAAGAAACTGAACGAGAGCAAGTTCGTGGATGGCATCCTCGTCCAGCTCCCACTGCCTCGGCACATCGAGGAGAGCGTCATCTGCAATTCGGTGCTTCCCAGCAAAGACGTGGATGGATTCCACGCCCTGCAGATGGGGCGCCTCTGCCTCAACATGGACTCTCTGGCCCCATGCACCCCACTCGCTATAGTGGAGATCCTCCGAAGAACAGGTGAATGATGGCAGTAGTAATATTTATTTTTGTTCCGGAGAGCCGTGGCATTACAGAAAGGCAAGGCAAGGCCTGTGGCACCGCATCTAATGACAATGTGATGAGATAGTGTGCAGATGCCAAAGAGGTGCTGACAATGTTCATATGGAGCTTGTGAACAAAGATGAGGGGATGATGCTGTGGGTGATGACAGCCCTGTGTTGTCTAGTGGGCTACTTGCTGGGTCTGTCTTCTTTCCAGCTGGTCCCACGACTCACAAAATGTGGTGGCGGGTGCCATGAGATGTGCTGGCGGAACCCGGGGAAGTGGTGTTTTTAAACAGGGGACACTTCTATGGTGAACTATTTTTGCTGACAAAATGGTTGGACATCCTTTTCGAATTCCCAGCCTTTAAAAATCACTTGTTGCCTTCCATGTTGCTTTGGCCAAACGTGCGCACTTGACGCTCGTGAGGCGCCCAAGTGTTATCGAAGTGAAATACCTCCCTGCCATTCTCATCCTGTGAGTGACTATAGTCACTAAATATTAATGCAATATTGAAGCTTATAGGATACCCCTTCCTAATATAGATCTGGGGTACTATATTTCCCCAAAAATAGTAGTACTAGCTTTCACAAACAAGGCATGTTTTCCTGCAGAACATGCAAAGATCAGTCGCTGCCATTTACAGCCAGTGTCAGGGCACCCCTGCATTTTTTTATTTTATGTTTATTTATCGATACTACTAATCCTCATTGGAGGATTTTTGTAGGGTGGTACAAAAACACAGATGCATAACCATAGTGCAGAAAAAACAGTTATACAGAGGATAAAAAGTATATGAAACAAAACGGAGTGGATCGACATGGTATGTTCACATCATGAGCGCTTCGACATCATCCATGAACTGTTTCAGCGAGCTAGCGTGAACAACGTGTCGGGGCAAACTGTTTCATTCCTGGACTGCTAGCGGAAAAAATGAAAATTTAAAGCAATTATTTTTAGGTTGGAACTCCCTCAATAATTTCCCATGGTTTGAACGGGTTTCTCTTCCATTGTGGAAAATAAGGTATTTAGATTTTTCTATTTTAGTCAAGTTATTGGCTATTTGGTAAATTAATTTTAATCGCGCGTGCCAAACTTATTAGTAATAAACCTTACAGCGAGCCTCTGCACTTTGTCCAATTTTTGTATGTTAGTTTTTGTGAAGGGGAACCAAACAGGGCTGGCATATTCAAGCACAGGTGTGCTTGAATCCACATGTGCACAAGCACAGCACATTTGAACCTAAAAAAGTGGTTTGTACCGAGACACATGCCCAGTAAGCGTTCACATGCTTTGAATCATTGCACAGATCCTGTTTTAGGGCCTCAATGGTAGTGACCCATTTAATTTGTTACTCTTCAATTGATGGCAATAGCTGACTTCCATATGGTCTGGGGAAAGGTAGACATCTGGGCTTAGCTCATCCAAGGCCCATACTCCCTGCAGGTGGCTAGAGTCGTCATCTGACCTCGTTTCACTAAGTCACACAAGGCATTACCGAAGAATTAATTACAGGCGCTGAGTGGATCCAGGGAAAAAGTGACCAGGTCTTTCTCTCATTTTCATTTATGTTTTTTTTTTCTCTCGGCAGGTCCTTGCTTCTTGGGGTCGCTCACCTCTTTTGCCTTATTGAAATGTTTCGCAGCAAATGTGCATTGGAAAGACAGCGAAGAAATGGGAACAACCACTTTGATTTGTCCTCTGTATTGTTTTTATTGACTTCTTCCAGCTGTGTTTAGAGCCTCGAAATCTCTTCCCGTTTACAAGTAGCAACAAGTGGGAGTGTACACGTGCAGCATGTGCTATGCAGCTCTTGCAATGGCAGCATAGCACTGAACTGAGCTATCAAGATGCCACGCAGTTTTTCTAGGACCGCAGCATTTACCAGTATCTACCCAGTCATTGAAGGTCATAGAATGTGCTGAGTGAAGAAATTTAGTAGCCCTTGTTTTTCTGGGTTACCAGTTAATTTGAAGTGAAATCTGATAGGACAACTTAAAATAATGTAAAGCAAACCCGACACTATGGTGGTGCCTCTGATACATCTCCGAATGGTCTGTTTACTGCAATTTCATTTTTGGCTCCTTGATTTTCACCTGAGGGCGTCATATTCGTGTCATGCTGTTGCCTGCCATAGTCGTTGTGGTGGCACAGCAGGAAAGGCTAGACGGTAGATGCTTGGTTTGCTATAGGTCACTCCCTAGTTTGATTTTTCACAGGAACTTCAACAGCCTTACAATGTAAGTCTGTGACAACAGTGGCGCATACTTTCATTCATTGTTTTTGCCGGCCTTTCTATGACCAACCGACCCGATCGTGACATCTAACAGCACGACATGCTGGCTCATATTGTGTGTGACATAATTAGTTGTCACTTTGGGGCCACTTTAAACGAATGGGTGGTATAGGATGCTAAACACAACAGAGCAAGACACATTGCAGGCCACACATGGCATATGTAACGCGCCAGTTCGAAATGCGTTCCAGATGCCACACTAACACAAAGGGGGAGGTAGATTGCCGTAGTGGGATGACTTGTCTTTCATTGGGGAATAACTGGGTGTTTTAATTGTGACATCTGACACATGCTTTTTCTTATTCATCAGGTGTGAACACGACAGGGAAGCACATCGTCGTCTGCGGACGATCTACCATTGTGGGGCTGCCTATCTCAATCATGCTGGGCTCTGCGAGGTCATACGGTATGGCAAACATTTTACTCTGGTTTAGGGCTTTAGTCATCTGGAGCTGAAGTGTTGGCTATTTAATGTGTAATTCTTGCTATATGATAGGGCACTGCGAAATATATTTTTTGTTCTCACTGAGAATAAGTAGCATTAGCTAGCGTTCTTGAGCAGATTGCTCTGCACTGGTGCTGCTGAATGGTACAAGTAGTGCAACTCTCTGCACCAGTGCTGAAAGTTGCACTGGTGCAGGGTGCTCCCCATGGCACCCAAGTGCACCTGTGCTTGGTGGTTTACCCCTGCTATGTACTTTCAAATGGCCTACTCTTGCATATTGAATGAGATGAAGCAATGTTTTTTTGCACAAGCACATAGCTGTGAAAGTAAATTGAACTGGTCTAAGGAGCAAAGAAACCATGGTTGCGTTCTGACACTTCTAATTGTTTTGGTGTCCCTACCAGTAATGGCCGCCTCAGTGACCGAGGCAAAAAGGGTATGTTGTCTTAGGCAAAAAAGCCTGCGTCGTCTGTGGGGTGTTCTATAGCCCTCTTTAATTTTTGTGATGGATTCCCAGTTGGCAGGTTCCAATTCCGGCCAAGGTGCCCGTAATCTGTCTCATTACAGAGAAGGTATTGTGTAACTGAAATTTTGGTTGCTCATCAAAATATCCTCAGGTGGTTGAAATGCCCTTTGTTTGTTTGGCCTGTTAAACATCCAAATTTTTTACCATTCTGGACTGAAACAGTGGTCTATTCGTTTATGGTTGAGGGTAAAGGCCCGTTCACACTCTTGCGACTGCTTGCGACCTCTTAAACCTGGGTTCCTTAAAACTTCTTAAACCAGAGAACACACTGGCGCCATCTATTGGGAAGCAGTGTAAACTCGGCGGTCCGGCATATTTTTTTTTATTTCTCGCGCAATATCCTTTCTTTTTTGGCTCGAAAAACTTTTGTCAATGTTATAAACGAGCCTTTCTATGGGTATTACGCACATTTGACCTCGGAAATCCCGCAAAACCTTCGCTTTTGGGAAATGCAGTTCTAGGGTCACCGCATAGATGGCGCCACAATGTCAGTGTGTTCCCTCATACTAGAAACATTTAAGAAGTTGTAAGAGATCTCGTCTCTCTCAGTCGTACTCGGTCGCAAAAGTGTGAATGGGCCTTAAGCCGAAACGTAATTTCCCAACCTTGGTTTTCTGCTGTTGGATCTTTTAGTGGGTTAGCATTAGTGCCCTGGTATGTGCGCTGACCATGGACATAGTTGAAGCACAAATTCATAGAGTTCACAACGTTGCCATAGGATTGCGCCACCGCCCTACCAATCGAAGATCGCCAGCAGAGCGTGGGATGGCGGTTGTAGTGGTATGACAGGTGTAGTGGGATGGCAGGTGTATCACTGGTGTGCGTGTCAACCTCCCCCCCTCTCCCATTACGTCACGTGGCCGGCATGTGAGTGCACGCTCTGGATGCCCTGGAAGTTTTTGTAAACAGCTTTGGAGACCTGTGGATGCACATGGGCTGCAGTTCTGCACACGGGCTGCGGTTTCCATTGTTTGGCCTTCCATGCCGTTCGTGACACACAGTTGTCTCACCATGTCTCTGGGACATAAGTGCATGGTGTCATCGCCTCTGTATGCACAACATGTATACACTACAACGAAATGGCTCTGTCATTTTCCATGCATCGCACGCATTCTTTCATGCGCGCGCGAACTGACCTGATCTGCCTGCACCAGCAAGAAGAGGGGTTACGGGAATGTTCACCTCGTGAAAAAGTGCTGAGAGGCTGCATTCACTATGCTTTGATTTATATAACTGCCACAAAATGCTGGCGCATTTCTTCGAGAATCAGCGTAATAGCAGCAGGGATTTCGGACCATTTTTTAATTGTAAAATTGTTTTTGTTTGAGGGGAAGAGTGTTCACAGTTGGGAACTGAAGATATTTCCAGTTAAATAATTGTTCATCAAACAAATATGCATATCTGACTGTTGACAACAAATGATTCTTGAATCCTTGTACCTGATCTTGAAGAAAAATATCATGAGCCATTTCACTCTGTGAAGGTGGATGATTAGCGAAGCTGTTTAGCACACAACACAGACCCACCACGAGCAGCCAGAGGAAACTAGACGCGCGACGGGACCGCCACCCTGGGAGAGTGGAAGGAAAGGAAACTAGACATGCAAGCGCTTGGAACGACGACAAGGAGAGGGCAATGCAGTGCAGGCGTAGACGTGGCCGACGCAGGTCGCACAGCCGCTAATCTTTGAGAAACCTTTAGGATCTACCTGCGACTCTACTAATCTTCAAAATAGTGCCTATTTATAACTAACCCACTGAGTAGACGTATGCGGAGGGCAAGTACATCTGCTTGTTGCGCCGGGGGTAGCGGTGACGTCAGAACGCCGAGCCCTGATTGGCTGATCGCGAACCCCTATCTGAGCGTCGTCTGCATCTGTCTTACCTTTCCTGCGACTTTTGGAAATGCAAAGGCCAGATTCACGAAACGATCTTGCGCCAAAAATGTGCGTAAGACAAAACTTAAGAACAAATTCATATTCACGAAACGAAATTTTCGTAAGTTTTGCGCAGGTTACGACGAAATCCTACGGACAGCTCCGAAGCTGTCTTACACACTTCTTACGATCAAATTAACATGGCCGACAGCGTCGCGGTCGCGACGACCCAGGGATGTTTATTTTTCTATGTGCGCTTCTGACGCGTCCCGATTTCAAGCAGCAAGAAAAAAGTAAAAAGTACTTCAAACAGACCACGACGAGCAAGAACACTGGTTCCACAAACATCCGGGAAAAGCTCCATTGGCCACGATTCCACCGAACGCAATTAAACGAGCTGGGCAGTTAGGCCTAGCAGGCACTCCGCGACTCGGCGACCGTCTGCCCACGACCGGCTGGCATGCTGAATGGAATATGTCCGCGCGACCCTTGTGAACCCTTCCCGTATTATACTTTGATCACTGACCTCAATTTTAGATTAAGAGGTCAATTTCTTCGTCTTGTTATCTCCTTGTTTCCCGAGGTAATGGTGACTCTCGCCGGTGAAAAAGCGGTGAATCTCCAACAGACGCAGGAAAGGTAAAGCAGCCATCGCTTTGACTAGCAGACATAAAGCAGACGACATTAACTGCGCCAACCCGCCGACGCCGTTAAAGAGTGGGGGGTCTCGTCGCACACGAATGGAGAAAACAAGTATTTGGGAGGGAACTTGCACACACTAACATGCTCACTCTCGGTTCTAAGCAAACAAACCTCGGCGCCCCGGGACACCTCGCCAGTGAGTCCTTTGACTTCGCTCTTTGATGCGCGTCTGCTAGTTGTTAGACAAAAACAACGTACCGCTCGAGTTATTTCGTCCGCCCTCTCTTAAAGGCGAAGTCGAGTTCGCCCCGAAAGTCGCAGGAAAGGTAGGACAGACGCAGACTATGTTGTGAGCAGACGACGTTGCAAAGGAGCAGACGACGTTACAAAGGAGCAGACGACACTGAGATAGGGGGTCGCGATCAGCCAATCAGGGCTCGGCGTTCTGACATCACTACTACTTCCTTTCTCATGCGCAGAAGACGAAAATAAGCCCACTTGCGAGACGTATTGCTAAATTACCCAAGCATCAAGGAGAATGCAGGGAATGGTGTTCCATGTGCTGCACGTGCTAGTGTCTGCAGCAGTAAGTGTTCTAAAGCAAAAGCCTAAAACATATGGCATGTTGCACGTGCGTTCGTCAATGCTTTATTTTGGTTATTTACTTTTAATCTTTTATACGGGGAAGGCATGCACGTTTGGCGGTGCGTGTGTAAAGTTTTCAGTCACTGCACACTAAAAATCCACGGAACCCTAGCCATAAACAGCTTCGCTGTAATATTGTTTCATGTTATTTTCACTGCATATGATTAGCACCTCAAGCTCTGATGTACTACTAAATGTTTGGCTTCTGAAGGGTATAGGAAAATCGGGAATCTCCAATCAGTGCCCGTTTTAATATCTGTGCTCGGGAAGTTCTCCAGAAAATGAATAATTTGTTTGGCACGAGGAGTGCTCTCTGACTTGCGTTGTGTGAATGCATACACTGTTCAGTTTCGTGGAGACAAGAGTAAACGTATATTGGGAGGCTATGCAGGTTTACATAAAGTACAACAATACATGGGTCTACAAAGCAATGACAGTTTTTATATGAAAAAGTTCACTTTATATGTGAGCTCTATCGACTAGAATTAAAAGTCATTTGATTTTGTATTTTCCTAAAATGTATTGGAGAAGAAGACGGTATGTCATATGCGAACAGGACACCCTCACATGACGCTACAAACAAATGTGTGAATGCTCAAACTAAGGGAGCAAAAAAAAAAAAGATGTATATGATCAGTTGCCTATCTTTTCCTTTTAATGTAATCACCTGACTGTATGTGGAGCACAAGTTCATCTGCTTCTTGGGCAGGGGTTGCAGTGACGTCAGAATGCCGAGCTCTGATTGGCTTTCATTGGAAAAATAGTGGGCAGACCTCAATACTTGATGCCTTTAGGTCTACTCACTATTTCTCTAATCAGAACCAACCAGAGATGGGTGTTGCGAAGTCACCGCAACCCCTGAGCAAGAAGCAGACGAACTTGCCCTCTGCAAAGATTTTTTGAGAAGCAGGCACTAAGATACCTAACTGCAAATGTAATGAAAACGTTACATTGACACAATGGACGTGAAATTCTCGTTCTCAGATTGTGGGTGGATGGATATATAATAACTGCTGTACCTTTTGTAATGGGCGGTAGCTTGCACTGCTTAGCCTAAAAACGATAACTAAAACCTGGTTTCCTCTTGCCCTTATCAAGCCAATTCGTTTCTGTAACTATCACCAGGTCATGAAAATGATCGCCAAGCAGACCTTTGGGGGATCGGTCAAAAAAGCTACAAAAATCACCCCCAGCGAAAAAGCCGCCAATTTTCCTCTGGTTAAACCTGCTCAGCGTCACCTAACACCCGACCCACTCAAAAACAGTTTTGTG